TTTCCAAGTTCTAGCCATTACAAACTGTGACACTATAAACATGGGTGAGAATATATCACTGTGGTAAAATTCTTTTAATTCACTTGGGAAGATACACAGCAGGGGAATATCTGGGTAAAATGGGACCTCTAGTCCTAGTTTTTTGAGATATCTCCATACTGATTTCCAAAGTGGGTGCACCAGTCTCTACTTCCACCAACAGTGGAGATGGTTCCATTTTCCCCACGACCATGCCAGCATTGTTTATTGGTTGATTTCTTGAAGGCAGCCATTCTTTCTGGAGTGAAGTGAAATCTCAGTGTTATTTTCATTTGCATCTCTCAAATGACCAGTGTTTTTCATGTTTATTTTCTGTTTCTACTCCTTTGTTCATTTCAGATGCCCATTTTTGGATTGGGTCTTTAATTTGGGAGGTCTAATTTTTAAAGTTCTTTATGTATTCTAGATAGTAGACCTTTGTTTGAGGACCATCTGGTAAAAATTTTTAGAGAAACTGGAGGAACAACTCCTTTCATCATAGCGTCCAAGAAAATGAAATACCTAGGAATAAATATAATGAAAGGAATAAAACCCTCTACTCTGAAAACTACAGCACTCTGAAAAAAGAAATTGAAGAGGATATCAGAAAATCAAAAGACATCCTTTGTTCCTGGGTAGGAAGAACCAAAATAATGAAAATGGCCATACTTCCCAAACTGCTACATAGATTCAGTGCAATCCAAATTAAAATTCCAACAGCATACTTCACAGAACTAGAGAAAGCAATCCAAAACTTCTTTTGGAACCAGAAGAGACCTAGAATAGCAAAAGCAATTCTAGGCAACAAAGGAAAAGTAGGGAGTATCACAATCCAGATCCCGAAACTATACTACAAAGCTACTGTGATTAAAAACAGCATGTTACTAGCAAAGGAACAGACCTGAGGATCAGTAGAACAGATTAGAAGATGTGAAAACAACTCCAGGCATACTCAGCTACCTCATCTTGGACAAAGAAGCCAAATACCTTCACTGGATGAAAGCTAAAATAAATGGAGCTGGAAAAAGTGGATTTCAACTTGCCAGTGCTTAAAACTAGATCCATATCTCTCACCATGCACTAAAATAAAATAGAAATGGATCAAAGATCTAAATATTAAAATAGTAACACTAAACCATCTGGAAGAGAGGTCAGGTTGAACTCTTGAATATATTGGTGTAGGAAAAGATTTCATGAACAAAACCTCAGTTGCACATGAACTAGCACAAAGATCAACAAGTGGGATCTCATTTAAAAGCTTCTGCACAGGAAGAAAAACCACCAACAGAGTGAAGAGACAACCCACAATGTGTTTAAATTTTTTTAAAAGCTTTTTATTATAGTAAAAGACACATTGTCACTGGTTCTCCCCAAAATGCCCCACCCTGCTTGCGACACCCTTATCCCATTGTGCTTGCCACTTTCTGAAGCAGCCCAGGAAGTCCTCTTCTGTGGTTTGCACGGTCCCACTTGCCTTGATGTCTTGAATTGATTCAAAAGGTTTACTTTTCAAGGTCACTTTGACTTTGGGGATGAGCGAGAGGTTGCACAGTGCCAGGTCCAGTAAACAGGGTGGAGAAGGACACACTGTTATGGTATTTTGAGCCCGACTTTCTGTTGGGTGGCACTTGGCAGCAACATTCACCATATTTTTGATTACAGAAAGGCACTCATGGAAGAGGACTTTCAGAACTGCTCAAGAAAGTAATAAGGATGGTGAAATGTGTGTTTGAAGGGGAGGTTTATTTTGAGGGGGATCAATCTGTCTTTTACTGGAATATATTTTTAAAATATTCACTGTGATTTTTGATCACTTCATGTCTATTTACAGTCATTGGAAAGAGGACTTGAAGTCATGCGAGTAGATGAAGTCACCCGGAGAGACGGGAGTACAAAGAGAAAGATCTGTGCCAGACTGGAGGCATCTGGACATTTGCACTTGAGGAAGGTATCTCTGAGTTGTGTTTGTCCTCTAAGCTCTCTGTAATTTATATTTGCCCTCCAGAAGGAGAGCTGGGTCCAGAAAAGTCAGAATACCTTGCAAAGTCATGTTTTAACAGCATTCACTGCTCTGGATCATAAAGTGGCACCTAGCGTGGTGCCTCCTGTGTCGCTGGCACTCAGGATGTGAGTGTTGATACATTTGCAGGCCACGGTAGCAGTTAGAAAAGATAGGAAGAGCCTTCGGAGTCCAGCTCATGAGCTGTGATCACAAAGGCCTAACCCTTTGTAGCTCTGATTAACACTGCAGAGTTGGAGCACCATTTATATTCTTCCATGATTATTATTTTTGTCATGTAGAAAAAATGGCAACAGAGGGTGGGAGCTGTCTAAGAAGATGTGTTCACTGAAGCACTGGATTTAATAACAAAATCTGAAAGCAAATGAAATGTTTATCCATAGGCAAATAGACAAACAGTAATACATTCAACCAATGAAATACATAGCATTTAAATGAAGGAGCTAGAGCTAGATCTATTCATTCAGATGAATCTCAAAAAGTTAATGTTATATGAAAAGTGCAAGTCACAAAATACTATACAAAGTATATCATTTATTGAAAATGTAAAAGCCACAAAAAATTTTGTATGATATATTCTTACAAGAAAATAAATCTAAGATTAGGTAAATGAAGAGCACAGAAAAACTTCCGGGCAGTGGTTGTACAATCTCTGGACACCAAGCAGGGGAATGGACAGAAGGGTGAGCTTTCAGCTCTGTATGGATTATTTTAAGAGAAGCAGAAGTAAATACAGAAAAACATTGCCAGTTATTAAATAAGGTGATGAAACACTGAAGAAATATTATTTTCTGTTCTCTTCTTAATTAAAAATAAATAGAAGCACATATAAATTTTGCAATTCCCAGAGAAATAATGAGGCTTTCTTCCCTGAACCTCAGTTAAACAGAAGACCAGGGGAAAACCAATACAGGAAGGCCCTGGCTTACAAACATCCAAGTCACACACTTTCACAGGTATGAACAGACTTTGCGTTACAGACATTCATAGATGTCAATGTATCATGGAAATAGCCCACGTGTCTCTTGGATGTTGTCACGGCTATGCTACCATGTGCTTACTGTACAGTGCAGCAGTGTACAGTATTTTGTGTGCATGTCTGTTTTGTAAATATTTTACATTATTTATTTGTGTCCAAAGTGTGTAAGATTCACTTTGTTGGACTTCAAATGAATCTGTCTTGCAAACATTCTCCTGGAACAGAACTTGTTCATAAGTTGGGGACTTGCCATATATATAATACACATACATATCCACACATACATACACACATATAGGCATACATGTATATGAACACATGCATTTACATTCATGTGTATAAACACATACATTTATAATCACACATATACACATATATGCATAACTTCAGATTAAAACAAGGTTTATTGGAAAAAATATTGGCTTTATCATAGAGTTTCGGAGGATCATAGTTTTAATGTGGTGAGAATTTAACCCTTTTCTGAGATTTGACCACGTACCAAATTGACAGAAAGACTACCTGTGTTTCAAGTAGAATGATGATCCTGGAGTGACTGAGGTGGAGCAGGGAAGGCCAGAGAACAGCCTTGGTTGTGGGGGTCTGCTCCAATGTAGGGCCAAGGAATTACAGAAAGGCCGTAAGAGGAGCCCACTCAAGTTTACTAGGAGCCAGGAGGCGGGGTTAAAATCCCAGTGAGATCTAGACAAATGTCTATTTCCTATGGTTATTCCAACCAATAGGAAGTCATGGGCTTTACTGATCTCTCGGGATCCTTCCAGATAAGATGCTCAATGACTTCTCTCTCCTCTTTTAGAAGTTTGGTCCCTGGACTGGAATACTCACAGGTATTCTCGAAATTTGGGAAATCTCTCTTTCTTGGTGAATTCTACCCAGCTTCCCTAGGCACTTCCTTCTTTTTGTGCCTGTTCATACCAAGCACTTTTCGGGTGCCCTGCCATACTCTGAGCCATCATTTTGGGGGATGGGATGTATTCTGAGGATGGATGAGATAGCGGAGTCACAGGAGGCATCAGTGGGTGAGGAGAGATCAGGTGAAAATAAAGTTGCTAAATGTGGAGAAAGTCGTGATTTTCTCCAAGGGCAGGAAGCCATTAGTCTTCACTGAACATTAGTCTATTTGTTACTTTTCATCAGCTCACCTATCATCTCCCTCTGTAAGTTATGCAAGTTTAATGAGTGGTGTGTGTGTGTGTGTGTGTGTGTGTGTGTGTGTGTGTGTGTGTGTACATGCTTTGGGCTTGGGGTGTGGGAGTAAAGGAAGAGGGCAGTCTGTAAAGTCAAGTTCAGTGTTCACCGAAGAGGCATATGTTTTAGGTATCTTGGGTTCTCAATTAAAAAAATGACTTGTTTCCCTCCTGTAGAGGTGTCATTCACTCGTAAAATTCTCAGGATCTGGTTAATGCTCAAGACTAACAGAATTTAATTGTAAGACTTCTAGGTTTGCCATTTTCTATGCATTTATCACTTGACTTATTAATAATCTTGTCCTTTTTAAAGCCATATTAATCTTTTAAATGATGTTCCCCCTTGTGTCTTTAGCAATTATTCTTCAAGCACAGTTTGACAGATACTGAAATTAGGCACCACTCACACTGGCAAAGTCAGGTAGAGAGGGCAGTTAATAGAAATGAAAACATATCTTTCTAGAGTTAGAATGTGAGAGAGTAGAAGTTTGCTTAATTTACACACACTTGGGGTGCATATACCCTCTTAAGAATGCATGAGTTGGTTTAGTCAAGACTCAGTTGTCCCACTCAGTTAATATGCAGCTCTGATGCCAGCTGACCCCTTATCTCCAGCTTTATTTTCTCAAAATCTGCCTGTGTTCTGACCACATAGCACTTGGCTTGTGGAATTCACCCCCTTTTTCTTTTTTTAAATTATTCATTAAATTTATCAGTACATTTTAGGTATACATTATGATCACCTTCTCCCTTTTCTTTTCTTTTGGTACCGGGGATCAAACTCAGGTCCATGTGCTTGCGAGGCAGGCGGCAGAACCACTGAGCTAAATCCCCTGCCAATCTTCACCCTTTTCAATGCCTGTTCCTCCCAAAGAATCTACTCACAGAAAAAGTTAAAGGCAAAAGGTAGCCTGCTGGATATTTCACAAATGAGACCTAGGAGGAGGCTATTGTAACATGCTGCTCAGCACACAACCTAATGTTTCCCCTTAGCTGTTCTTATTTCTCCAGACCCATCTCATCCTTTTCTTCTTTAAATACTTTCTAGAAAAACTTTGTGGAGTCCTTACCCCTTTCTTTTCTCTTCTCTTGAGAAAAATGAATTTTACTTCATTTTTATTTTTATTTTGCATAGCAGTGGAGGGCCTCTCTTCTCTGCCTGAAGCAAAACCTCAGGAGTTTACACTTCAACCCAAATGGTTCATTAAAGTCTTTCAACAAGTAAGATGCTTCTTCAAAGATGATATGAAAAGTGTCGAATTTGATGTCGATAGACAAATCTCATGGCAGCCCAGGTCAGGATAAGAGGCTGTCATTGCTCAGAAGTTCTTCTCACCATTTTCAAGGTCATTATTGTCTATAGACAGCTTTGTGGGAAACTCACAAGTCTCCCACAGGACTGATTTTCTGAGAGGTGTTTGAAGCAGGGAACAGACATATCTCATGCAGGGGATGGCAGCTGGTCCCTGGCCGAGTGACATTGTCACCTTGATCATTACAAGCTGATGGAGGGTTTGCTGAACACACGAGATCACTCTGGAGGCATCTTGAACCATAGTTTGACCTGTTTAGGTGACATTCAGCCAGATATCCCTGGGGTTATTTGTTTTATAGTGATTTGTTCAACCTTCGTGTGGTTGGAAGCTTCTAGAGCTCTGCCTGGTGTCTCAGCTCACAGACATTCTGAGGTGAAAGGGGCTTTGGAGAGATTCACACTTAGTGCCCTAGCTTTTCAGATCTGTCTCCTGAGCTCCACGAAGGAGAAAGAATGGCTCAAGGTCAAATAGTGAATTAATAAGCTGTGCTGGGCCAACCCCACCCCTTCTGATTCCCATGTGGAGATTTGTGGTTATACTATAGCACTCCCTTACTATTCCTCTGAAAGATACTTCACTTTTTAAACCCTGGATATGTATCTTTCCAAGAGACAGAGGAGAAGCATACTATTTAATATGTTTTGTGGTTTCAGTTTTTCTCTAACATTTTCTTTTTGCCCAAGTGTTTGGAGAGATGAAGTACTGTTTGGTAAAGAGGTGTTTTCTTCTTTAAGGCCAAGTGATGCTGTTCAGTCCAAACTACTATATAAGAAGATGGATAACACATTTTCATTAGGAAATGTGCTTATATCCACATACTGGAATTCATTCACCACGACGGATATGGTGGTGTTGGCTTGCAAGTAATCCAGCAAGAACTGAGAGAGATTCTGGTATATGTGTTTAGTTTGTATTCCAGACTCACACACTGTCACTAGGGCCTCTCTTTTGACCTTTGTGTTGACTCGGAGCTCTAACTTCAGGTCCACAGGATGATTGGAGCACTGCACAAGAAACTGCAGTTGGCAGATGATGAAGTACAAGCCTGGAAACTGGATCACGAGGTTCCCATCCTGGTATCTGACTCCGTTCAGAATGCCGTCTTGGTTCCAAAAAACCCTGGTACTGTTGAGACGCTTTGACACTAGGAACAGAAGCATGAAAAACAGAACTGTTGACCAGAATTTACCTATGGATTGGAAAATTCTGCCTTTATTCAAGATGCCCTTTCTAGGTCTCTGTCTTCTATAACGTTCCCTATTGTACCAATCCCTTGGATATCTTTTCCTTTACATCTTCTCAAGTCTGTTTATTGAAGCCACAGCCAGGAAAGCACCTGTTTCCCCTTTCTCCGAAGCACCGAGCTAAAGGGTCAAACGTATATAGCACTACCTCCGTTAAAATGGTTTCCTCTTAATTGTTATCATATTATATTATTATTATGATTAGTATCTTTCCTGTTAGACTGTAAGCTGCTGGGCTGTATTCTGCACCAAGTCTGCACTATCATGTTCATTTATTTTGGACCCATAGTTAATGAACCACTGCTATTTGGTCTGCATTGCAGAAAGTATCAGAGATAGGACAGTTAATATTGCTCACTTAATAACCACTTTAGGTATCAAGTTGCCCAGGAGAATCTCTATTAGCTTTCACATTAAGCTATGTCCTTTAATGGATCACTGTCCAACTATTTAAATGTCTTGAGGGTAGCCAGGCATGACTACATAGGCACCTAATATGTACATTAAGGAGCTCTGCCAGCTGGGTTTTCTAGCAGACCTTCTGAGCAGATGTGTTTACGTCAGAAGCCCCATCTCTTGAGTCCTAACAGATGAAATTCAGCACTGCTTAGTAAAAAAAATGCCTTCAGAACTGGGAAGCTGGCACATTAGTTTTAATTGCTTTTGTATTTTTCCTTTAAACCTCTTGGCAATTCAATTGAAAGGTAAGAACTAATCTAACTGCAAGATTGAAATTTTGCAATGAACCGTGTGGCTGTTCAGAGAATCTTGGCCATCTCCTCTGTAGCTTGTTCTTTTGCCGTGTAAGTGCCTCTTACGGTTTCACTTATAAGGGGCCGCTTACCTGAAGCGGACCGCAATATGTATATAGGTCCTGTGTCAACATCTTCATTATGCTATCAATCTGGGGTCAAGGCAGTTCTGTGGTTCCCTTGTGAATAGCTTCGCAGAGATTAAGAGCCTCATTCCATTATATTAGGAAAAGGACTGCGTACTTGGTTAAAGCTGGTGGGTAGCTGAGTAGGGAGGACAGCAGAGGTAGAGGAGGAGGAGGCAGAGTGGTGGGGGGATCACTTGAAGGGGGAGATGGAACTAAGAAAGAGGAGCCTTGTACCCTTGGAGTTAACACTCTCCTCCTTTTCCCCCAAGGTATTCAAACTCAAATTACAAAAAGCATTCTGCTACACAGAGTACATTTGCAGGTCCCCTTCAGCCCTGGACTCTCATAGGGTCTTCCGGCTTAAAAGTGGCTGAAAGGGCATAGGAGGCAGATCTCGTGTCCTTGGATTTCCTGGACTTAGTTACTGACCTTTGAGGTAGGCCCTTGACTTCTTGAATGGAGCCCTTTCCAGGATACATAAGAGGTCATCTGAGCAGTTCCCTAAAAACAAGGAGATCAAACATTGATTGTCTTCTGCTGCTCTGGAAAATGGAGACACCAGATCTCTTTCCATGAGCCTTTGATGTTGAAAATTATTATATTTCCATTTAGGGCGTAAAAGGAAAACTTCTTTAGTTCTCATTTCATTGTTGCATATTTTAGGAGTTTTACTTTTTAAAAATTTATCTTTTAATGATTGCTTCTACTTGGGATTTTATAGAGGACTGTGGAAGTCAGGAAAAGAAAACAAATACATTCTGAGTTCCCATAATGTACCAGGCAATATCCTCATTACCCTACATTTTACCTCATTTAATCTTTGCAGTAACTATATGAGATCTTCTTAATTGTCTTGTACCGATGGGAAAAACCCTGGGGACCAGATAGGTTAAACGCACTGTCCTGTGTCACCCCGCCCAGCAGTGATCATCTGAATACTAATACTGTACTGAGAGTAATTATTGCTAACTTACCTGCTGCATGCGTACCAGGTACTACTCTGTGCACCTTTACATGTACTAGTTAATTTAGTTCTCAGGGTTAACCCTGCTGGCCCATGTCAAAGTCAAAAACGCTGGTGGAAATACAAGTTCATGGAAGTATTTATGAGTGTCTGATTCCAGAGGCCAGGTTTCCTCCTTTAGGCCATTTTGTTAGGTGACAAAGAGAAAAGCACCCTTTCACTCAATTTTAAGAGGGCAAAAGATTGATTATATCTCAGCAAGAAGCCTCCTATTAGGGGCTTTTAGGCAGGGGCAAGCACAGTCTTCATATCATTTTGGTATTTAAGAAGTAAAAATATTTTTAGTATCTTCACCAAGGGTGATAGCTTAGCTTTTTCTTATTACAATAAAACTATGTTGTATGCAAAGAACCAAATTATATATTTTCTGCAATGACTCATGAATTCAACTTCATGAGTTGAATACAGCAATTGGAACAAGTCTCTCCTTTTCTTTGAGACTTGGTCTCCCTATCTGAAAACTGGGTGGCCTCCATCCTGACACTGACATTGTTTGATAATGTCACCAGAGATGACCATTCAGTCCACCTCATAGAAGAAGCAGCCACAGGCTCTTGCAACAGGGCAGCCACACCCTGTTGAATCTGCTCTCTGAGTAATACGTGTTGGGCTCACAACCTTCCCCATGGCTGTCTCTACCCAGCCTGAGAAAGTTCCTCTAGGCCCTCACAATTCCATGGGGCCCTGGAATGGTTCAAAGTTGAGTGAAGAGTTCCCCCTGCTGTCTGAGCAAGCTTACTGCTACAGGCATCCCCAGCAGAAAGAAGGGCGTTTTTCATCCCCATCTGCCCTTGACTCTCACAAAGAGCTTCTGGTCCAAACCCCCTCTTGGCACTGAGGGCCAAGGCCCAGCTGCCAGTCTCTTTATCTCGCTCCTTCAACCTGTGTTTTTGTCTTTCCTGTTACAGCACACCGCCCACAGTCCTGGGAACAGAATCAGAATCATCACCGAGTTTATTCTCCTAGTGGACTTATCAAACTCTCCAGTTCCCTTTCACTCTAAGACCTAAGTGTGCTAAAACCTTCACTATCAGCACAACAGTGACAGTAATAATTACTAATATGTGTTAAGCATTGCCTGTATCTAGGCACTCTGCTGACCATGTTGTGCACATTATTTCATTTAATTTTCACAGTCATCCTTATATACTTATTTCTATTGCATATATCAGGAAACCAAGGCTTTAAAACATACAATGACTTGTTCAATTCACAAAGCTAGTTGTTGGTAGGGTGGAGATTCAAACTCAGGCTGTGATGGTGAAGTCCCAGCAGATTGCTGATCACTGTGCTGGTGTTTGGGGCCTTGAAGTGCCCCGAGTACATTCTGACTTGTCATCCCACTTTGGCAGCCCCTCCTATTCCCTCTGCATGGAATCCCCACCTCTACCAAGCTGGATGTCATCTGAAACACAGCCCAGCAGTCATCTCCTCCAGGATAGCTTCCTTGCCCTTCCCTGGTTGGCTCTTGGTTCCTCCAAGGGGCCATGAGTTCTCAGGGTAGAGACTGCTGCCTACACGTCCCTGTGCACTGTGCGCTCTTGTTGAGTCCAGTCACTGGTCCATCCCTCTTGTTCCCCTCCATAGGGATCAGCCATGTACTCAGGGCATGAGGGAGGTGACAGGAATGTTTGGCTTGCTTCCCCCAGGGCCTCGTCCTCCCCAGGGCTGTAGGCTAGGTTAATGGTAGGGTGAGGACAAACATGCTCTGCCCACTGGCTGAAGGCCCCTGGCATCCCACTGCCTGCCTCAAATAAGAAGATACCAGCAGGCAGAAGCACAAGCCCAGGCTTGTCTCTAGCATGCAGGTTCTTCTGTTGTTTTTCCTCTTTGATCTTCACATGTACAGAGGGGTGACCTCAACTGTAATTCTGAGAAACCCAAGGGTGGAAAAAAAATCTTATTTTGAAGCATTGCATTTCCTGAAGTCAAATGGCATGGCATATTTTAGCTTTTCTTAAAGAATCTTTTCAGTAGTTTCAAGCTAAAGGAAAAACATAGGCAGCTCCAGATATTGCCAGCAGGGCATGGTGGCACATGCCTATAATCTCAGCACTCTAGAAGGCTGAGGCAGGAGGATTGCAAGTTTGAGCAATTTAGTGAGACCCTGTCTCAAAATGAAAAAAAAAATTTTTTTTAAAAATAGGTTGGGGAAATATGTAACTCATATTTAAAGGCCTTGGGTTACAAAGAAAGTGGAAGAAGAGAGAGAGAGAGAGAGAGAGAGAGAGAGAGAGAGAGAGAGAGAGAGAGAGAGAGA